ACCCCTCAAACTCAAAACTCTTCTTCCAAGACAGCCTAGAACAAGTGAAGCCTTTCCTGAATGGCTGTCAATTTGTCCAGCTGTTTTCCTCAACTAATTCCCTGAGACTTCTCCAAAGTGAGCCACTGGGTGCGTCTTAAGGCTGTTCTCTTTACAAAGCATGCAAAACACTGACTGAAAGTCTGTTTAAAACCCTTCTTCCGGAAAAAGAAAAGTACCGGATAGTCTCACTCATAGCAGGAATCTAGAAAACCTAAATAAGGGACCAGGAAAAAGAATAACTATAAGAAAGAAATATCAAAATCAACAAACAACTATGAACCAGAGACACACTATGGGGGCTGGGGGACAGGGAAATGAGGGATTGGGGTCAAAATAAGGGGGTTGTAATTGTATGGGGAATATAAAAATGAAATTTAAATTAAAAAAAATAATAAAAATATATAGTTGGGGGCCTCCCTGGTGGCGCGAGGGGTTAAGCACCGCACCGTGAAGCAATCTGCAGCCTCTGCAGCATGACTTCGATCCCCAGCTGGCCAGGGAGATTCCCACGTGGCACAGCAGACCTCTCTTATTACTCCTGCTACTTCCCTCATTAGTAAGTTTCAGTCAGTCTGTCTGTTCTGTTCCCCACTCTGTCTCTGGTGAATCCTCTCACCCCCCCACCCCCACATCTCTGGCCTGTATCCCAGGTGTTGTATGTATAAATAAATAAATCTTTTTAAAAATATTTAAAAAATATATAGTTGGGTGCTGAGTTTATTCACCTTGAGAAAATGAGTATCATGCGAGGAACAACAGAGATAGGTATTGTGAATCTATCTTTGTATCTTGTTTGTTATGTAGTTTTGGCCAAAGCTGTCTTTTCATTTTCCCACTATTAAAGTGAATATAATATATCACCCTGGTGTCTAACTTAACTTGGTTCTTGTAAAATGTGTCTTTCCCAGACCAAATCTCACAGGCTGTCCTGTGTATGCCCGGATTTTCTAGACATAGACTCTCTTCTGTCCTTGTGCTCCTCTCCTTTCTTTTTTTAAAAATATTTATTTTATTTATTTATTCCTACAAGAACTGGGGTGTAGGCCAGAGGTGCGGGATGGGGGTGGGGTGAGAGGATTCACCAGAGACAGAGTGTGGAGCAGAACAGGCAGACTGACTGAAATACACTGCTGAGGGGAGCAGCGGGCAAGACAGGAGATGTCTGCCGTGCCATGTGGGTCATCTCCCTGGCCGGGGATTAAACTCATGCCTCAGTGGCTGGCAATAGCTTGATAGCCCTGACACTTTAACCCTTGTGCCACCAGGAAGGCCCTGCTCCTCTATTTCTTAGCTGCCAATTGTTCCCCCGACCCTCCTCCAACCCAATACCGCCTAACACCTCAGTTTATAATACCAGTTGGCTCCCACCCAGCAGCCAGCCTTGAACTACACTAGTTCTCATGACAATTCTCAAGTCCTTAATGCAGCCTCATCTTCTTCCCGCCACCTCTTTGTTCACTGTGCTCCAGCTACCAGGTTTTCCTGAAGTTTCCTTGAGGCACTAACTTCCCTGATTCAAGGCCTCGGAACTGCCAGTCTCTCTGCTTGGAACATTGCCGCACTCTCCATATTGTGCTCACCCCTATTCAACCTTATCTTAGTTTCATGTTATTTCTTCATGGAGCAGTACTTGGCTTCCTTGGCAGAAACTAAGTTTCCCTGTTATATGCTATCGTTCTTTCAGATATGGTGTGATAGTTGTCATATTGTCACATTTTAAAAGAAAAAGAAAAAAGTGGACTTAAAGTGAAATTTCTGTTATTAATGATAGCAAGTCATTGAAAAATTATATAACACTGACGACTCAACTAAAGTATCTATAGGTTAGTGACCATCTGTGGCCGGCCTGTTTGCAACCTGAGCTGTGCAAACTTTATCTTTACTTGGCAACTATTCCTGTATTAATCATCACTCCATCTATTAACTGTCCACTCCATGCCAGGCACTGTGCTTGGTGCTTTGTATAGATGACTTCATGTACTACCCAAAACCACCTGGGAGGTCAGGTAAGGTTCAGAGAGGTTAAAACATTTGCCCAAGGTCACAAGCCATAAGTGGTGGAGCCAGGTGCTAAAGGTGGAGCACTTACTATGCTTCCGCTGGAGCACTTAACTATGTGTCAAGGTACAATTGTCAATTTAGAATGGGAGAGGCTTCTGAAACACTAACAACAACAGCTACTCATATTTGTTATGTGCTCCCCATGAGTCAGTCATGGTGCTAAATGCTTCGCACGATCTGATTTAATCTTCACGACATTCTATACAAAGGCACTACTATCACCATCCCCATTTTATAGAAGAGGACATTGAGGTATTAAGTATAGGTATTTGATTTAACCAAGTCAAAAAGGGGATTCAAACCCAGACAATGTGATGTCATAGTTCCCACTCTTAGGAACCTTTATCAACAATTTGTGTTTGTGGCAGAGCAATGGACTGAAGGGGGAAAAGGAACATTTTATAAGTCATTCCTTCTCCAGCCCAGTGTCCCACAGAGGATCCAACTGAGAAACACCCCCGGGTTATTTCCATGAAGCTGCAATGGAGAGACGTGGCCTGCAGGTGGCAGCAACATCAACAGTCTCTAAATGTGCAGTGTTCAAAGCTGAAGCTTTGCACAGATTCACTTATTTGCATAATGTTCTCTGACTGGCCCAATTAATTCTTTGTGGGTTAATTGGACTTGGTTCTCAGCCCAGTGAGAACTACCTCCTTTGTGGAGCCATTCACAGCTGTGAAAGAAGAGCGAGTCCTCAGAATTTGAAAGTTTTCCAGCTCAACAGCCACCGCCTTGATTTTAAACTGTTAGTTGTTTTAAGTGATCCCAATACATTTTGAATTTTTAGCTTAAAAAAAAATCTCTATTTTGTTGTTGTTGTTAAGGTACAGTAACATATACATTTAAGAAAATTTGAGGCCATGAGTGGAACAAAGCACAGAAGGGGGCCAATGGACTGTGGTGGAAAGTTCTTAGTACTTTGGTGGTGGGTGTGGGGTGGTAACATACAGTTGAAGAAATGTGGGTGTGTAGTCCTAAAATATATACAGTGTTGTAAACCAGTTACTGCAATGAAAAGAAACTGAATAGCACAAGATTGAAAACTGTTTGTATGTAGAAAAAAAAACCTTAAGCAACAAAACAAAACTCAATACTCCCCTTCACCACCCAAGCCATTGATTTCTAGTTAGCATAACAGCAGTTGTTCATCCAAACTTTTTTTCCTTCAAAATAAGGTAACATATTTTGCACGCTGCTTTCCTTCCTGCTTTCTTTTAAACTGAGAACTATTTCAAGCATATAGAAAAATAGAGAGGTTTATATAACAAACATAAACTTTATCAAATTTATTGTTTTTGTCATATTTATCTACTTTTTGTTCAAGAAATAAGATCTCAGAGATGTTTTAAGCCCTGGTGTACTCCTCCTTTCTCCCTTTTCTCTTTTCTTAGGATTGTTTGCCTGAATTATTTTATTTCCACAGGTGATTTTATATTTTTATTACGTATACATGAATCTCTTCTCACATCAATTTATCTATTAGGTACTGTTACTGTACCATTGTACAATGAGAAAACTGAATTTTTTCTTTCAGTTTTACTGAAATATAGAGGAAATTGAATCTTAACAAGTTTAAATAACTTAGCCAAGGGTACACAGAGAGGAAATGGCAGAATAGCTTTCCATTGCCAAAGTCTATGCTCTTAACACTGTACTCCAATAGTGCCCCAAAGCCCTAAATCCAGAAAGATTAATGGTTAGAAATCATCTTTAATGTTAACTGGTCTCAAGAGAGGCCTGGGGGCCTCCCCGGTGGCGCAGCGGTTGAGCGCGGGGTTGCGAAGCTGCCCGCGGCCTCTGCGGCGCCGGTTCAATCCCCAGCTGCTCCCCGGCCACCGGAGGAGGGTCCCATATGGCGCGCGGACCTCTCCTGCGCCCGCTGCTCCCCTCAGCAGTGAACTTCGGTCCTTCTGCCTGCTCTGCTCCCTGCTCTGGCTCTGCTGAATTCTCTCACCCTCCCGCACTTCTGACTGTACCAGTGCATGTATAAACAAACAAACAGACAAAACAAACAAATAAATAAATTAAAAAACATGCCTCTATAAAAAAAAAAAAAAAAAAAGAGAGGCCTGGGGCCTCCCTGGTGGTGCAAGGGGTTAAGCACCACACTATGAAGCAATCTGCAGCCTCTGCAGCCCGCCAGGGAGCAACCCACATGGCAAAGCAGACCTCTCCTGTCTCGCCTACTGGTCCCCTCAGCAATGCATTTCAGTCAGTCCACCTGTTCTGCTCCCCACTCTGTCTCTGGTGAATCCTCTCACATACACACACTCACCCCTCCCCCACCACATCTCTGGCCTATACCCCAGCTCTTGTATGCATAAATAAATAAATCTTTAAAAAAAAAAAAAAAAAGAGAGAGAGAGAAAGAGGGGCCTGGCCCAGGCCACCTACCTTTTAAAAAGTTATGTTGGGAGTATAATATATATGCAGCAAATTATACCTATCCCAATTGATAAATTTTAACAAATTGAATATACCCACGTAACCAGCACCCAGATCAAAAAATAAATTACCAGTGTCTTTCTTCCAGACATCTTTCTCCACTCTGAAGGGTAGCTACTCTCCTGACTTTGGACAAAATAATTTTGCCTCCTTTGTAGTTAATATATGTGAGATCATAACAGTATATATTCCTTTGGTCTGGTTTATTTCACTTAAAATTATTTCTAAGAAACATACATAAGGTTGAATATAGGTGTTCTATGAAAAAAATAAGGGAACATTCATTCTGCAAAGAATTTTGAGTGGCACTGAGACTCTCATGGGAATTGTCACCAGCCATTGGTACTATCAGAGCTCGGTGGCTAGACCTAACTACAGCAGGGGCAAATCTAAGCACTGCAAGGGATGGTCTGGGACCTTTTTGTCTCACCTCACTTACCTCTTTGCCTTACCTTAGATTTTAGCTGATGCTGCAGAAAAGTTTTGTGACGACCTCAACTCTCCTTGCATCTTTCTGTCTTCTGTCCTGGAGCTTATCCTAAATCAAGATGTAGGACACTATGGGCCTCCCTGGTGGCACAGCAGTTGAGCGCGGGGTTGCGAAGCTGCCCGCGGCCTCTGCAGCGCCGGTTCGATCCCCGGCTGCTCCCCGGCCACCAGAGGAGGGTATATGATAGCTATTAAAAAAAAGCAGCAGTTTCATTATTACCATGACTACTGTTACCGCCATTATTATCACCTAAGGTTTCATGACTGTTGTCCCTATTACTCTTCTTCCCCAGGGATGACACTCAAGTTCCACAACCAGAGCTCTGTGGCAATGGCTGTTAGTTTTTCACCTCAGTGTACTGGGAAGCCATTAAAGAATTTTTCTCGGTTCTTTATTTTCCCTCCCTCCTTCCTAACTTCCTTTTCACTCTACATATTTTTATTGCAGCCCCAGGTAGGGGGTTCTCCTTGTCAATGGAGATACTCAGTTTCTTCAGCCACTCCAAGATGATACCCTAAGGGTCCTGGAGGTGATTAGGCACATGGCAATTCCTATCTTCTTGGAGGAGCACTGGGTAGTTGCAGGGTGTGATGGAGTTGATGATGGTGTATGTGATACAGGAGCCGAAGAGGGACAGAATTATAGTTGTGGTCATCTTGGTCACAGCAGCAGTTCTGTTTTCTTGAAAAGAGTTTTTTAACTAAACTGTTTTTCAGTTTTAGAAGTGTAATTGGTAAATAATAACAGCACACATTAGTGTCCAATTGATGAGCTTTTATATATTTAAAACTCATCATATGCCCTTGAAACTATAAACACCATCAAGATAATTAACACACCCATTATTCTCCTAAGTTCCTCTACCCCTGTATAATATCTCCCTGTCATACCACTGCTTCCTTGGTCACCAGGCAACCTCTGGTCTGCTTTCTGTCACCATAGTTCCTAGAATTTTGTATTAGTGGCATCATACAAATAAACTCCTTTATGCCTGGCTTATTTCAGTCAGCACAACCAGTTTGAGACTCATCATGATGTTGCATGTATCAGCAGTTCGTTCCTTTTTATTCCTGAAGAATATTACATTGTGTAAATATCTATTCACCCTTTGAAGGACATTTGTTTCTAGTCTTTGGCTAGTACAAATACAGCTGCTATGAATATTCAAGTCTCGGTGTAGATATATATTTTCATTTGTCTTGGGTAAATATATCTATAGTGAAATGTTTGGACCATATGGTAGGTGTATATTTAATTTTTAAAGAAACCTCCAAAAAGTAGAGGGACAATATACCTATGCAAAGTGCATAAAGTACATCAATCTTAAAAAATAAAACACCAGACTGTTTTTCCAAAGTAGTTCTATCATCTTACAATCCCACCAGCAGTGAATGCAAATTCTCGTTTTTCAACATTCTTGCTAACATTTGATATTACCAATCTTCTTAATACTAACCATTACCTGTGGGTGTGTAGTGTTATCTCACTGTGCATTTGCATTTCCCTAAGATCTCACCTGTGTTTATTTGCCACTAGTGAACCATTTATCTTCTTGGTAAAGTGTCCAAGTAATTTCTTTATGATTGTTTGTCTCATTGAGTTGAAAGAGTTATATATGTACTCTATATACTAGCCCTTTGTTAGATACAGTTTTTGCTATTTCATCCCAGTCTGTGGTTTGCCTCTTCACTTTCATAAGTATATGAAAGAGCAAAAATTTTAATTTTGGTGACGTGCAATTTATCATTTTTCTGATGGGTTGTGTGTTTGAAGATCACATAGATTTTTCTCCTTTGTTTTCCTCCATAAGATTTGTAGCCTTAGGTTTAATTTACATCGTAACCACAATGGGTTTGGCACTTAGGAAGATCCTCTGGCAGCAGCAAAGAAGGAGTTGGGAAGAGCCTGGGTAACTGAGACTAGGAGAGAGATGATGGTGGCTCCCTCTGGGTGATGGTGATGGAGGAAACGGCAAGGAACTGAGATGTTTGGGATGTAGGATGACTTAATGGACTGAAAATCTCAAGAGGGATACCTCCCTCTTTCCTGGGGACCACCCTGTTACAATACCTGAGTTTCTTCCTCATGCACAAATCAAGGGCAACTTGCTTCTAAGTTTTTTTGCACTTCTAACCTTCTCTCTGTCTCTCTCTGTATTTTTTAATTCTTTAGAGAGATTAGAGTTGAAATTTGGCCAGACAAGAACTGGACGCATTTGCTCAACACCGCTCCTGAATCTGTACACATTGCTTGAACCCAAGACTGAACTTTCTTCCCAAGTCCAAAGGCCTTTGCCCATCTCGGTACCAGGAAAGGTGCCCCAGCGCTTTTACGTGCAGGACATGGGCAGCAGGAGGCGCATGCCCAGAGAGGTCGTGTGGGACCTCGGGCCCGGAGAGCAAAGGGCGAGAAGTTCCCTCCATTTTGTCCGGCCGGGGCACAGCTGGCCCCTGCTGAAGACTACAAGTCCCGTGAGCCCCCGCGGCGCCACTTCCTCCCCCCCACTGTCCGGCCGGCTCCTTTCCCCCCTCCCGGGGCCGAAGGGCTCCGGCTGCAGCCAGGAGGCCTCCGGCCAGGTAGGATTTCCGGGGGAAGCCGCGGCGGAGGCTGAGTCGGCGGCGGCGACCCGGTGAGTTCGGCGAGCGAGGGAAAGTGGGCGGGAAGTGCGCGGGGTCCCACTGCGGGCGCCTCTTGGGCTCGGGCCGCGCTCCTGGCTCAACGAGGGGGTCGCGGTCCGGTCTGGGGGTGCGGCCGGGGCCGCGGTCGCGTCGAGCCGGGGCGGGGCGGGGCGGGCCGGGGCCGCCGCCTTCTCCTCCGCCCCCCGCAACGGTCGGGTCGCGGCTGCTGCGCGCCCCGCGCGGGCGCCCCCTCCCCGCCCCCGAGAGCTGGCGGGGCCTTTCTGTCGGGCTGCTTTGCGCCCCTTTGTGCGGGCGTGTGGAGGCGCCTCCTCGAGGGAGCCCGCCGGGCCGGTCCCTGGGGATCCGGTTGCGGTAATCGGATCGGGTCAAAGTCCAGTTTTTCAAATCTTTCCTGCCTCAAACCTCCGCATCCCAGCCCGAGGCTTCGGAACCTGGCTGAGGCAGGAGGGAGCTGTGTAGAAAACCTCGCGGTTATTGTCTGACGGGTCACTAATCTGCAGGCGTTTTTCTCGGTAGGTGGATGGGCCTCTGGAAAAGAAGTGAGTCCCCTCCTCGGGAAGGGATCGAGTTTGCTGCGGTTGTCTGGACGGGTCGCATCTGTGGTCGGGGACCAAGGTACATATGCGGATGGGCTGAAAGGTAGTTCATGCGCCTCTGGAAACTCCGAGGAGAGAAAGTGATTTATAGGACGGCGAGCTGCCTTTTCATTCATTGAATGCAGAAAAAGACTCCAGAACTTAAACCGGCCGCCCCGTTCCTCGTCTCCCGTCCCCTACAGATCAGCTGCTTAAAACAAAACAAACAAACAAACAAACATCGAAAGAAAACTTCTATTAATATAAGGGTCTGCTTTATATAGAAACTAGAAACCCAGTGACTTCTAGAAAACAGCAGCAGGGGCTAGTTCGTCAAGTGGTAGAAAAGAAGCCAGTTTAAGGGAGGAGAGGTAGTGCATTCTTACTGCAACCTGTGAGTTGTTTGGAATTGATGGTAATTGTTTAGAGAGTGATAACTTTGTGTCCCGTTGGAGGACTGTATTGTTAAATCAGCTTAAAGTTTTCTAAAGGCCATTGCAAAAACGCCTTTTGTAAAAAAAAAAATGAGTATTTCAAGTCTGAAATTGAAATTATTGTATAGGGATGGAGCTCTCTCATGCAGTTGTTCTTCAATTTTTAATCCAGGAGTCAGTGAGGGTTGTTTGTTTTTCTGGCAGTGCTGTAAAGAAACATCCACTAAATGCTGTAGACGTTTTTAAAAACAGAACAGCAGTGGCTAATGAGTGGCTGTTGCTTATTTGTTTAGGCATTACAATGCTACACTTATTTTCTGAAAACAGCTCAGATACATTATGCAATTTAATTCTCCCTGCAATCTGTGAGATAGTTGTTCTTTCATTGTAAGGCTAACTTTAAAACTTCTAATGTTACATTCTAAAACATGTTGACATACTTGCCCAAGATCACACAGTATCCATAGAAAATAGGCACGTAAACCATGCTGTGAATTCAGTGCTCTTGCCATTACTTTACACTTGTTGTAGTTACTCATCTTTACCATCACCAACAGTGTGATTTGCTGAAATTTAAATATGGGGAACGGGGGAATTATTTTCCATTCAGAGTAAACTTATAAGGTCCTGGAGTTTCTAGAACCGTAAACAATGTTTTACGGAACCATAGGGCATGCCAAACATTGGTCGATCACCTTGTATGATGTGCCTAGGCAAAATGGCAATTTAATGAGCCCTGGGGGAAGGGTGGTGAGTTAGTAACTGGGCTGTGGTTTTGACTAATCTTTGCTTAAAGGTTTATTAAGAAATCTTTTGTAGAATATGTATATACAGTAGCTTTGGATGCTGAAACATCGAAGAAACAACTGAAGTTCAGACATTTTTCTAGGCAGAGAATCCAGACTCAAGAATTGCTTTCTTTAGTTTGTGCTTTTAGTTAAAAAAAGCAAAACCTGCACTTTTTTGGGTTTATGTCAGTACATGCCATGAATGTGACATCAGAAATAGAAACCTACTTCTCCGCACTTAAACTCATCTTAGGTAAGCACTTAAATTCATCTTAGGTAAAATGCATAACATGTCAATGGAATTGAGTCAATAAAATTAGTCCAACCTTTCTAACTAGTAGAAGCCTGTTTTAAATCTTTCTTTTAATAAGCCATCGTAATGGGAAGAAACTTTTTTGCTCTTGTGTTTTTTGCTGTTGGTCTGCTTTATTTCCAAATCAGCTCATCCATCCATTTAACCAGTAAATATTTGTTGAAAGCCTATTATGGTCTAAGCACTGTAGTGACCCTGAGAACAAAGCAGTAGAAACAAAATTCCCTGTTATGTCTTACAAACTCTTAAGGGTGGAGTGGGAAGAGGGAGGAGTTAGACAGTAAATAAGTACTAAATAAATAAAATCCCCTCTTCTTTACTATGCAGCCTTGAGCACTAGCCTCTTTGAACTTTAGTTTTTTCTTCTTTAACACTCTTCCTAGCATGTGGAATTGTTTCCAGAGGTGAGTAAGATAAGCATTTAGTTGTATTATATTCTTCATTTTCCCATAGCAAGTTATTAATACACTATTAGAGAAGAAAAAGGCGTTGGGGTAAAGTTGTAAAGAAAGAGACAAAAAGTGAACAGATAGAATAGATGGATTCTTTCATCTGAGAGATTCTGATGTCCCATGGCAGAAGATTCTGTGACTGTTGGTCACATCTTCACATGGACTACTGTAAACCTTTTTTACAGCACTTCTCAAATAAGACCAGTCATCTTTGTTCTGTATTGTCATAGTTAACTCTAAGTGGTAGGGACTTTGTCCCACTCTGCATGCTTACCACTTGACACATAGCTCCTGGTCAGCACTGGTACTTTATAAATGTTTGTTGAATGCATGAATGAATACAAAATTGGGCAGGGGCAGTTGAGGTGAATACCAGAATACAAATGCAATGCCAAAATGATTCTGTTTTGAAGGGTAATTCCTTATAACTTCAGGATAGATGATAGGGTTTAGGAGAGATGTTTAGAGAATAAGTGCTAAAAAGAGGCAGATCGAGGACCTTTGTTTTGTTTTGTTTTGATTTTAAAGGATGAGAGAGATTTGACGTATTTGAAGGTAAAGGAAAAGGAGCCAGTGGAGAGATAGATGTTGAAGATCTACACAAGAGAAAGGGGAGATAATAAAGAAGCCTTGGGAAGAAATAAAACCTTAAAGCACATGAAGAGGTGAGCCTTGAAAGCGAAACATTAGAAAATGGGATAAATTATTTTTGGAAGTCATGGAGATTGGAGCAGTTACTAAAAGCTTATTCTGTATCTAGACATTTCATTTTATTTTACAAAAATTCTGTAGAGTGGATGGGCATTCCCATTTGACAGTTGAAAAAATTATAACTTGGAAATTAATACAACTTAAAGACACCGTATAAGTCATGTAATATATATTTCAATTCCAAAGTCTAAGATTATGACTTCTGCATTAGATGGTTTGTTAATGTCTGTTGCCCTCTTTTTTTTTTTTAAATCTTTTCTGAACAAAGTACTGAGTTAGCTGCAGAATGCTAAAAGGTTAAAATGGGCTAGATGACTTCAGAGAATGTTGAAGGTTTGGAATAGCAGCCTTGGAAAAGGTAAGAGAGCAACCAGAGATGAGTAAAAATGCTGCTGAACAGCAGTTAGGACCCAGCTGAGGGCCAGTAGTGTACCTCTTCTGTCTCCTATTCTCTGTGCACAGCATTTCTGGGACAGTCCTGATGTGGGCCTTAGAAGACTCCTTGCAGTATCTTATAATGGAAAGCTCTGGTGCCACTGCTTTCAGCAAGTCTCAAGTCTTGTGGTTCAGTTTTCTCATCTCTGAAGGGGTCTATCGGATTAGTTGCTCTCTCAAATTCTAGGATTTTACGATTTATAATCAGAAATATTCCCTAGGGAGGGGAGATTCCAAGGGGCTTTAGGAGATAGGAAGTAAGTATTTTTCCTGGCTTTTTGATTTTTAGGGATGAGATGGTTGAAACTATACAGCTTTCAGATTCGATCTTGGTTTTCAGTTTAACTTCTCTATTATGATGTTAAAGCACCAGTTGTTTGTCTTGATCTGAAACTTCTGACATATTTACTCATAATGCATTTACTACCTTTAGAGTCTGATCACTGGCATTCTAGTTCTAACTCTATTGCTTCCTATGAATATCCAAGTCAGCAAATCTCATTTAATACTAGTTTTCTCATTTATAAAATGGGGATGCAACCATTTACTCAAAGGTGTCAGATAAGATGATGTATGTGTGAAGTCATCATAAACTATAGTGTTTAACATGAGAAAAGACATTATTATGCCTGCCAAAGGAAAGGGATCAGTGCTATATGGGGGAAGCACTGGTTTAAAGTACATCCATCGATTTCAGAAACCTCTCAGTGCGTTGAATTTAGAAATTTATATTTGTAGTAGATGATGTTGCTGGATGTTTTTCAGGTGTTCATTTAAGATAAGCATAATCTTGACTAATATGTGTGACTTAAAAAAAACTCCATTATTTGTCTTCATCTCTCAAATGTGAATTTACTAGCCGTATTCCCAGGAGTATTTTTATTTTTATTTTTTTTAAAGATTTATTTTTATTTATTTATACAAGCACTGGGTACAGTCAGAAGCGCGGCAGGGTGAGAGAATTCACCGAGCCAGAGCGGGGAGCAGAGCAGGCAGAAGGACCAAAGTACACTGCTGAGGGGAGCAGCGGGCGGCAGGAGAGGTCTGCGCGCCATGCAGGACCCTCCTCCGGTGGCCGGGGAGCAGCCGGGGATTGAACCAGTGCTGCAGAGGCTGCAGGCAGCTTCGCAACCCAGCGCTCAACCGCTGTGCCACCAGGGAGGCCCACCAGGAATATTTTTAAATAGATGTTGATAATATTTTTATTTGAAAGTAGGGGCCTCCCTTGTGGTGCAGGGGGTTAAGATACAGCACTATGAAGCTATTCGCAGCCACTGCAGCACGAGTTCAAGTTCGATCCCCAGCCAGGGAGGTGACCCACATGGTGCAGCAGACCTCTCCTGTCTCTCCTACTGCTCCCCTCAGCAGTGTATTTCAGTCAATCCGCCTGTTCTGCTCCCCACTGTGTCTCTGGTGAATCCTCTCACCTCCCACACCTCCGGCCTGTATCCTAGTTTTTGTATGCATAAATAAATAAATCTTTAAAAAAAAAAGTAGGTAACATTTTTATGATTGTCTGATAGAACTGAGTGTATTGCTTGGTTTGTTGCCTCTATGAACGGCTGATTCTGATGGAACTCAAGATACTTAATCTTTTTCAGAGAACTCCCCTATCCTGCCTATATCTTGCACTTGCCATCTATTCTGTAGTTAATGACCAGTGTATTCCATTCTCCCTACCCAGCTTGCTTACTCTCTTTGCATGTCAAAAATTGATGTAGGGCCTCCCCAGTGGCGCAGCAATTGAGTGCTGGGTTGCAAAGCTGCCCGCAGCCTCCACGGCGCCGGTTCAATCCCCGGCTGCTCCCCGGCCACCGGAGGAGGGTCTCACATGGCGCGCAGACCTCTCCTGCCGCCTGCTGCTCCCCTCAGCAGTGTGCTTCGTCAGTCTGCCTGTTCTGCTCTCCGCTCTGGCTCTAATGAATTCTCTCACCCTCCCACGCTTCTGACTGTGCCCAGTGTTTGTATAAATAAATAAAAATAAATCTTTAAAAAAAAAAGTTTAAAAAAAAATTGATGTAAAAGATTAAAGATTCTTCCTTAACAGTAGTGATCCCCAAAGCACCCTTTCCACATCACTTGCTGAGTGCTTTTCCTTGTGTGATGGTGTTACCTCTTTGTTTTCCCACTACATTGTACCTGTTTATGAAAATATATAAAACGGAGTTAAGGATTCCTGTGTTCTTGGTTCAGCTTATTTAACTACTACAAATAATGCTGCCACATAGATCTATGTACATGTAACTTTTTTTTTTAAGATTTATTTATGCATACAAGAATTGGGGTACAGGCCAGAGATGTGGGGGGTGGGGTGAGAGGATTTACCAGAGACAAGAGTGGGGAACAGAACAGGCAGATTGACTGAAATACACTGTTGAGGGGAGCAGCGAGTCAGGAGAGGTCTGCTGAGCCATGTGGGTAGCTTCCTGGCTGGGGATAGAACTCGTGCTGCAGTGGCTGTGGACAGCTTCATAATTTGCATGTTAACCCCTTGCAACACCAGGGAGGCCCCTACATGTCACTCTTTCTAATGAAATTTTTGGATCAATGGGTATATGAACATTTATCAAATTGTTTGCCAACATCAGTATTCTAATTTGCATTGCTACTAACAGTATACGGTATTTTGTTTATTCACAACCAATCTTACTAATAATGGATTTTAATATTTTATAATAAACATTTCAGTTTATTTTATTTTTTTAAAGATTTATTTATACAAGAACTGGGGTACTGGCCAGATGCGCGGGAGGGTGAGAGGATTCACCAGAGACAGAGTGGGGAGCATAACATGCAGACAGACCGAAGACACTGCTGAGGGGAGCAGTGGGTGAGGCAGAAGAGGTCTGCTGTGCCATGTGGTTTGCTTCGTGGCTGGTGGGGATCGAACCGGCACTGTAGAGGCTGCAGACAACACCACCAGGAAGGCCCATTTCAGTTTGTTTTTTAAAAGATTCATTTTATTTATGCATGCATGCAAGAGCTGGGTGTAGGCCAGATGTGCAGGAGAAGATTCACCAGAGACAGTGTTGAGAGCAGAACAGGTGAATCTACAGAAATACACAGCTGAGGGGGGCAGTGTGCAAGACAGGAGAGGTCTGCTGCGCCATGTGTGTCACCTTCCTGGCTGGGGATCGAACTCATGCAGCAGTGGCTGTGGGATAGCTACATGGTGCTGAGACATAACCCCTTGGGCTGCCAGGGAGGCCCATATTTCAGCTTAATAGTAATAAATAGTACATAATTACTTTTACATTCTAATTATTAGGAAAGTCATTTTTTTATATAACTAAATTCTCTTCTTGCTTTTTGCTCACTTATATAGGTCTTTATGGTCTTAGACACTTTTGTAAGCCCTTTATTATGAATATTAATTTATTTTCAAGTTTATTGCCCCCAGTCTGTATTGTTCTTATTTTTTGTTTTGTTTTGTCCAGAAACCTATGTATTTCATGCCATAGCCCATTACTGTTCCCTTTGTAATATCTTACATTTCTTCTGGTTATTAGTAAGTTATGGAGAAAATACTTCATCTCAACTTCTATTACTTTTAGTTTTCTTTTTTTTTTTTTTAAAGATTTATTTATTTATTTATGCAAGCACTGGGTACAGTCAGAAGCACGGGAGGGTGTGAGAATTCACCAGAGCCAGAGCGGGGAGCAGAGCAGGCAGAAGGACCGAAGTACACTGCTAAGGGGAGCAGCGGGCGGCAGGAGAGGTCTGCGCGCCATGTGGGACCCTCGCCCAGTGGCCGGGAATCGAACAGGCGCTGCAGAGGCTGCCGGCAGCCTCGCAACCCAGGGCTCAACCGCTGAGCCACCGGGGAGGCCCCTAGTTTTCTTTTTTTTAACTTTCAGAAAAGTTGATTTTTCTTATTCAAAATTAAGTTTTTTCACAGTGCTATTCAGTTTTTCCTGGTAGCATTTGTTTTGTGAGCACATTTTGAGCTCTGGGAGACTCTAAATTCAAAATGTGCTTATTAATTTTGATACTAATATCCACCTGTCATTAGTAATTAAAGACCATACCTTTTATAAGGATATCAAGGCTATAAAATATAATAAAGTATCTTTCTCACATTGGTGTTGATATTATTTCATCATTTACCTTATGATAGCATTCATAGAGAAACAGTTGTTTTCTTGGTGAGTTGATTATTGAATATGAGGTACCACATTATCGATTAGGATATTAGTGCACCCTTGCCTTATGTATTGAAAGATGACACAGCATATCTTACAAAGAGGTGATAGCTCTAAGACTGAGGATTTTAGCAACAGTTTTCATATATTTTATGACTTACATGACATTAGGTAAAAGAGAAATGTCTTCTGGGGTAACATCTTTATATAATTGGAAAAGGGACTTCATCCTTCTCCTGTAACCACCAACCACTAAAGAATATTCTGTTAAATGACTATACCTTTTCATACTGTAACATAAGATAAATCTGTCACTTTACAACTACATTAATCATGTTCCTTTCACTTTTTTTTATTGTAGTAAATGTACCATTTTA